AGACAAACATGTGAACCTCCAGGCCAAATTACTGGTCAGAGTTCAGTCACTCACAGGTATTTTTAAGCAATAAAAACGCCTGTCATTGAAACAGTGCGAGACATAAATTACTGTAATGCCATAATGTGAAACATTGTGGGCAAAGATGCATCTCCATGAAACAAATAAGTCGCGAAGGCTCCGCCAGAAAAGTTACACATTGGACCTTTAAAGTTAGGGTTGTGACTAGGGATGTAACAATATCCAAATCTCACGGTACAATATTATCACGATGTGCATCTCACTGTATGATATTTATTGCAATATTTTGGAGAAGCTATTGTAGATTAGCCAGGCTGGTGCCACCTAGTGTCTCCACTCGGTTTTATTTCTCTCCAGCGACTAGGTGAATGTTATCAAGGGGAAAGACGTTATTGCCCTTCTTCCTATGAGATTTGGGAAAAGCTTAATATACCAGTTAGCCCTGTTAGTGGCGCATTACATACATCACAACGAATAGTAGTGATTGGTTAAATGAAAAAAAGTACCCGCCTACCGTCGAGAGAACGAATCCTAATGCTGTGAGGTCAGACGGTTTCTTCGAAGTGAAACCGGCTGATGAATCAGGCTAACTGTAGATAAGGTATTTTAAAAGCAATAAGTATCCTAACAAAACTCAATGCTGTCATAATCCCAAAAATTTACGTTAAAAACATATTTCTTCATGTTGTTTGCACTGAAATGAATCATGAGATATGTAGTTCCCTATGTTTATAAGCTGTTGCTACTATAAAATCATGCATTTAAGCAAATTAACTTGTGATTCGATATATTGTGACAGCCCACGATATTATGGTGAGACTTTTGACGATACGATATCACAATATTTCGGTTATTGTTAAATCCCTAACTGTGACAGGATGAAGTAGGTACTTAATTCTGTCAAAGCAGAGTGGACCACCAACACGCAGCCAATCACGTCTCACTCATATCCATCATACAGCTGTCACAGTACACTTTGGTACGGGGAAAGGGTGTGTACCATTTCTAAAAAGAGAATTTGCATTAGTATAATTTGAGATTTGTTGCCGACATCAAACTAGCACATGAGTTATTGTCTTTGAATCACTATTAAACTCGATGCAGCACTTAACTATACGGATTAAGTTCTTTGTCTTCACATTGAACTACTTACACCGAGGTTTGGCGATTTTGAATATCTGTAAAAAGTGTAAAAAAAAAAAAGAGTCATTTGCCACAACATATAGAGTTTCCTTCCTATTTTGCGGTAGGATTTTGTGTGTGACCTTTGAACCGGTCGTCTAAAATATGCGCTCCAAAATATCGATGTGAAATGTCCCGGAGCTGTGGAGTTTGGGTTTGGTAACCTTGTGTACTCTGGAGCTGCAGGCACACACTGAGTGACAGCTGTATGCTCTGTACATAGTGAACACCACAAAGGGTCCTGGCTCCTCTCACCTCCAGACTACTCTACAGTCATTTTGGGTAGTGCATATATACTACTGAAACACATTTGGATTTGAGTGGATGTTTATAGGAAGAGTTCGCTATAGCACAGTTACTAAGTGTTCCCCCTCTCTGCAGAGTTTGACACAAAAAGTTGGTTTCAAACAAAACATTTTTTTTTTTTTACATTTTATTTTGCAACTCAAATTTTGCAGTTGGACCAATGTTCATATTCATTTTCATTCCACAAAAACAAAATGGATCTCTTCCCACAGCTTAAATGTTTTGTTTTCTTTGTTAAAGGGTTATATTACGCTTTTTTAAAATCTATGTTATAATGTTGTTTTCTCATCAAAAACATACCTGGAGCTGTGTTTTCTTCATTCACGTTTAACAGACAAACCCTGAATATTTAGGCTGTATTCTTTTCTCAAACAGAAAACATTCCAACTTGTGATGTCCTGTCAATATGGGAAGTGCTCCACTGCGTTTTTAAACACCATACAGCTTCACTAGAATTATTTAGATAATTTCACCCCTAGATAGGGTTCCCACTCTTTTTCACTGACAAAATTTCAAAACTTTTCCATGACTTTTTCATGACTTAAAGTGAATTTTCCATGACTTTATGGCACCTGCATGTGTAGAATTTCACATACTTTTAGGGCTAAATATGAAATGTTAACCCTTTCCACTCACCTTATGGTTTGTTATTATAATTTTTTAACATTTAAAATACTGTCAGTGCATTTATTGTCATCTCTTTTAAACAAAAGGCGCAAACGCCTAATGATTACTTAACAGAATGCTGTAGTTGTGTGAAAGAGACACTAAAATTCCATGACTTTTCCAGGCATAGAAAATGACAAATTTCCAGGATTTCCATAACTGTGGGAACCCTAATAACCCGAATAATAAAGGGTTACTTTTGAACGTAACGAAACACAACTCCAAGTATGCTTTTGATGATAACAACATTTTAACCTGGCTTAAAGCTCACAAAAATAAATTTTGCGTAATATAGCCTTTAAATTTGAGAAAACATACTTTTATTTAATGTTCTTGTATATTACTTTCTTGTATTTTTGTGTCCAAACTTAGAATTAGAGTAGTAAATCTTAAAGTCATTTCAGGTCATTACACTTATTTCTATCATCAGCAATATGAGCATTTAAAGGGTTACACACTGAACAATGGCAGGACATAAACTGATAAAACATTCACTCTCACATTCAATTTGGCAAAAGGATCAATTTAATAAAATACTTGGCCAGCATGAGAATTGAACCCACAACCTCCTTGCAAAGTGGCAGGAGTGCTTCTGCTGCCACTGTACCACTCATTTAAAAAAAAACACTTAATCACATCTTCCCAAAGAAGGTGAAGTCATACAATTGCCACCAGCATTTGTAAATATCCAGGAAGTATTAGAAGTATGCAAAAATGCTACTGGCATATATTAAAATGAATCAAATAATACCGATCCTAGTGACCTACTGGTCCAAGGATTTAACAAGGAATAAAATCTTTTATTACGACAGCTTGTATGGTCCCTTATTCACCTAGGAATTATAAAACAGGCTAAACTCTAGAGTGATGCGTCATCACACAGTACCAGTCTGATTACAGAGGGTGATTCTGTACAGGTTAAAAGTGTATTTGTTCCTCTCATATAAAGTGTCTGCAGTAGGCTTAAGTGTTGCATAGATGTAGTACAGTATATGTGAGTGAATAATACTAAATGTTAAAAAATCAAATGCATCAACAGACCAAAGCAGTGGTTCTCAAACAGTGGGACAGGCCCTAGTTTAGTTCATCTTATGGTTTAAAGGCACACTACCACTAAGTCCACATGGAGATGTTATTGGTTTGCCTGGAATGTTCCATAGGATGCCAATAAATGTATATTCGTATCTATAATCTACCTTCATGGAGACGAGGCGGTCACAAATGCAGGTCTTCCAATCTATAATTAAATGTCTCAGTATTTTTAACTAACATATTTTCTCTCAGATAAACCAGGACAAAAATCAGGACTAAAACCAGGTCTAAACCAGGTCTAAACCAAGACTAAACCAAAACTAAAATCAGGACTAAAACCAGAACTAAATTCAGGATTAAAACCAGATCTAAACCAGGTCTAAACCAGGTCTAAACCAGGACTAAATCAGGACTAAAACCAGGACTAAACCAGCACTAAAACCAGGACTAAAACCAGGTCTAAACCAGGTCTAAACCAGTGCTAAACCCGGACTAAACCAGGACTAAAATCAGGACTAAAACCAGGACTAAACCAGGACTAAACCAAAACTAAATTCAGGATTAAAACCACATCTAAACCAGGTCTAAACCAGGACTAAATCAGGACTAAAACCAGGACTAAACCAGCACTAAAACCAGGACTAAAGCAGAGCTAAAACCAGGACTAAACCAGGACTAAAACCAGGTCTAAACCAGGACTAAACCAGGACTAAATAAGGACTAAACCAGAACTAAACCAGAACTAAAAACGGGGGCTCGGCTATCTTTATGTGCTCTAAGGGGAGGCTCACATTCACCCAATTTGAAAATCCCTGCTATAGATCATTCATGCCCCTGATTGGCTGATCCACCTGTCAATCACAGCCATCTAAACTTAAAGAGATTCAACAGTGACTCATTGTGTATTCCGATACCAGAAAAAATATACAGTATAACGAATGCAAGATAGATATGCTTCATGTTATACTGTGGATTTATTTAAAGTGTACTTAGGTTAAATGTTTGAGAACCACTGCACCAGTTAAAGTATAAAGGAAAAATAGTAATGTATTGACAGCATTTGACAGTGATAGTAGCTGTTATAGTATTCCCTGTGGCCCATAACACTCTTCGCTCCTATCAAACCCAACAGTGTGCTGACAGACGCCTCTCTTTGGTCTTCTACTCCTATTATTTCTCTCAAATAATGTCAATGGAGCTAGTTAAAAATACTGTGTTGTTTTGAAAAATGCTCCTCAAACTCACATGCACAACTTCACCTGCAGGGCACACGTGTCACGCAATTGGCATGTTTTTGCTATTGCTATTTTAGATCACAGACTGGCAAATTCGGCAATTGTGCACGCAAAATGTGGAGCGGAACTAGAGATGAAACGAAACGAAGAGATGAGTGCGGATGAGATTATAATACAGACGGAGCATTTAACAGCATGAGGTCGGGTATGAGAGTTCAAAAGTCAAAAGTACAGTATAGGATATCACAGGTAAGGGAATGCAAGCTGGTGTACACAGACCTTTTCAGACCCTGCGTGGAAATGTGGAGAGTATGATTGTGGCCAGCCATAATGCATTGAAATTATGCTGATAAATCCTGCTGGGTTTTTCAGCTATGGCAAATTGCGGCATTATGTTAAAATAATAAATGCGTTTATCATCTAAAGCAAAAAAAAGTTGTACCAAAAGAACTTGAAAGACTACTACTGCTACTTCAATGGCATGCACTTCCTTTATAAATACTTTGTACCTGAACCCAGTAAATTCTGGTCATGAGGTGAATATGTTGCACTGGGTAATCCAAATAAAAGAAGTTTTATTTTTTAAGAAGGAGACTGTTAATCCATGTAGACAAGGCACTAACAGCATGTAACAGCAGGGGAAAGAGTGGATGAGACATTCAGCAAATTGTCAGAGCTGAGAGTTAAACTTCCAACTCTGAGGCAAGCATCTTGACACCCGCAAATGCCTTACATTTTCAGTTTCATCTGATATAAAAAACGTGCTGACTGTCTTCTACATTTCCATCTCTGCTAAGATTTATTGGATGCTACATGTGCTAAAAAACATACTCGGAAATACTCACAGCTTGTAGAAAATGATATGAAATTCTAAATATAAAGTTAAAAGTATATTGTCTTATTTGTTTCTCTAAAGGTGCATTTTGCAACTTTTCTAGTGGACGGTCCACCAATTGCTTGAAATGTCATTGCTTGCCTGGAATGTTCCATCATATGACTTTAAGCATTTCCATCTGGCATTTATTCATTACAAGTGTTGCGCTTGCTCAAAAATACCTCAATTCCTTCAATGAATATTCTCTACAGATCTGAATTGTAATGTAGCGGAGTGATGTAAGCTTCTTGTCTCCCTACCGTAATTTCCAGACTATTGAGTGCATCTGAATATAAGACGCATCAACTAATTTGAACAAAATTAAAAAAAATGTACATATGTTGGCCGCACCTGAATATAAGCCACAGGTGTTCACGGCTTCAAGAAAGTTTTCAAGTTCAGGCCGTCTGCTTTCATTGCCTCTTTTTGTATTGAGTCAGTTCATTACGCTGTCGCCAAAGTCTCACCACCGACTCACTGATGCTGAGCTCACGTGCAGCAGCTGTTTCCATCTTCTACAGCCACATCAATTGCTGTTAACTTAAAAGCTGCATCATCTGCATTTCTTTGTGTATTTTTCAAGAGGAGGGTGTGTGTATGAAGCGCAAAATAACTGTTCAAAACACAAACTAGAATCTTCCTCGGCACATCACCCCCGTCTCTCCCCGTGCTCTCTTGTGCATGTCTCCTGCAGAAAGAGCCTCTGTCCTACCTGTTTCATATCAGTGTCTTGGAGGATTTCAGCAGATTTCAGAGTCTCTCGGGGGTGGGGATAGTTGTAGCCGTGTCGTTTTATTCACCGCAGGGTTGAAAGAGTGAGAAAAAAGTAGTGGCTTATAGTCCGGAAATTACAGTAGGTTTAATCTATACTGTGGAACATCTAGACAAGGCAATAACATTTCAACCAATAGAAAAAAAACAGGTAGCAGACCATTCTTTAGAAATATTACGCAGTGTACCTTTAAAAAGTGTGGTATTTGAGGAATGTGTAGGTGAAAGTGTGAATTCAATGCATTAGACTGGCCACAAGCAGCATAAATACTACGATGGATTGAAGCATAATAAGATGTGTACTCTGGAGGGCAGGTCTGGATGCTGCTCGGGGGTCAGAGGGTACAAGGGGTTCACAGGTCGGTGGTGGCCTTGGCGGTCAGAGCTTGGATGCGGCCGCTGTTACAGTTCTTGCAGAGCACATGTCCGTCCAGAGGGTAGCAGCCCTGGTTCTCTCCTTCAGATAGCAGGGAGCCACAGTCCTACAGAATACACAAAGAAGAGATTTAAAGAAAGACGCCAACACACTTTCGTTATGTCTATAGCTATTCACATGAGAAAAGAAACTGACAATCCTGTATTTTCTGTTTTCTTGTGGGTTGTTTTTCTCTGTATTTTGGTTACATTATGAAATTAACATGTGATATAATGACAAAATTTACTGTTTAAACTATTGGTCTTTCCCCTGAAACTATCACTGTAATTTTGACACAACATTTTCAAAGAGAGAGATTTGTTTCTATGTATAATTTGTATAAGGCACACTCAACTGAGTGAATATGAAACACACAGTTATATTTTCTCTTAGATTAAAAACTGGGAATAGAAATAAATGTGAAGAAGTATTGATTATTACATAGTTAAAAACTGTGCTGAGATATCCTGTTATATTAGTAAAACACAAAGGTCCTACATTATGCAAAACAGACTTTTGTGAGTTTTAAGCGTTGTTATAATGTTGTTACCTCTTCAAAAACATACCTGGAGTTGTGTTTTTGTTTCATTCACACAAGTTTGAGTACAGTAATCTTTTAGAAGTCTGAATAATTTTCAAGATAAACGCTACCCTTTACCTCTTGTTCAGTAGAGATCCAGGACTGAAATCTTCCAAATGATCCTAGTGAAGTTTGGAGTTTAAAAACACAGTGGAGTACTTTCTGTGTCACCACATGACATCACAAGGAGGGTTTTCTGTTTGAGAGAAGATTTCAACCTAAATATGCAAGGTTTCGGTGTTAAACACGTGTGAATGAAACAAAACACAACTCCAGGTATAACTGAATGAAAAATGAGGAAACAACATAATAGATCAGAAAATAAGGTCTTTTAAGGATAAAGGACACTCAAATGTAGAGCTGAAAGCAGCCAAGGCAAAAGGAGCTATTTCTGAATGAAATCACAAAAGAGCCTGATTTACTAAAATAGTAAAGGAGAAGTAGGAAGGACGCAATCTCCATTTGAGCTCTTATGACCCTGTTATCCTCAACCAAGACATATGAAAGCACATTTCAGAGTATACCTCACTCAAAACTATTGTCTAATTATTGTTTATAAAATAATAATAATAATATGCATGTAATATTATTTTAGATATCTCCAAGAAAAAAACAACAACATTTGGTGCACAATTTAGCTTGAGGTTCAGCAATAGTATTTCCATTTTTATTTGTCAATTGAAGTTAATTTCCAATAGATAAGAGGAAAAACTGTAATAATTAGGTGTGAAAATATCACATGCCTTATTAATGACAGAAGACAGTAGTTCAAAGCAGCTCAAGGTGAATCTAAAGTGTTGTTATTGCACCTGTAGACACTATTTTTACATAGCTCCAGTGCACTGGGTAGTACGTGTTACCAAGGAACTTTGCGCTTTGATAAACAGCAAGAGAGTCACACTCAGGTCTGTTAACCAACAAATAGAAGAGATGGAAAAATAAGATGCTGTTTTGCCCATATGGTGTTTCATTAATGTGAAAAAGGAGTGACTCATAGAACATTTGGGAGTTTGCTGTTGAAAGAATGTGATTAAGTTTGGCTGAAGATGTATCAAAACAAGTGATCCGAGGAAAGGCTGCTTAAGCTTAAAGAGGGGGTGTTACGTTTACACTATGGGGTATTAATTGCTAAAATGTAACATCATTTTATTTAGTTGGTTTGAAAATGCTACATTTGGCAAAAACAATGTATTAAAACTAATTATTTTCAGCTTGTTGTTCTGTGAGTGGAGGGCAGAGCAGGGAAGGACTGTGTGGTGGGAGCATGGGCAGTGAAAAAAAGAGAATTTTGGTTATGAATGGTTATGAGCTGAGTCTTAGACAAGTGAAGTTGTATCATACATCTAAAGGTTGGTTTGAAAAGTGCCTGTGAGACCGCAAGATCACTCAAACATGCACAAATGATTCAGGAAACTACTTCAGACATGTTTTTGATGAAAAAACAACAGTGTAACATGGTAGAAAACACAAAAAGTTGATGTAACCTTAGAGATCAAACAAGATCTCATGCTACAAGATCTCGCAAGACAAAATTGCCAGAAGATTTTTTCCCCCCCATGTTTTTTCATTTGGATTTGATAAAAAATTGAGATTGCATTTTTTGAGACACTAGAGCCCGAACATCAGTGTTACAATGGCAACAGAAAATTTAAATGAAGTAAATAATAGTATGTTAAATGGGAATTGGATTGCACAGATTATTTATAATGAACAATGTCAAAATCTCATCTTGTCTTCTCTAGATCCAATCTCGTGTCTCGTCTTGTGGAAATTATACCATTTCTGACCCTTGTTTATTATCATACCCCCTCTTTAAGCCTACGTTTATGATGATGACGGTCTGAATAGAAAACGCAAAAGTGGCATTGCATCTTCACTTTTTATTTCATGTTTAGACGAGCGTTTTCAGGAGGAAATCTGTGTGCACATGGTGATGCAAAAGTGTGTGGAATTCGATTGGGTGCTTGTACTTAAAGCAACAAGGGCATCTTTGGGCATACGGAAGATTTCATGCCATGCATTTTCATCAGCTACTCCTTCCACAAAGTTGTCCCATCATCGACTGGTTCTCCCAGGTCTCGTCCATACTGTCTGGCTCACCTGCGATGAACTGCATCCAGACTTTGAAAGAGGTAATTGCAGATCCTTCTCTGTTCACTAATAGTATCTGTGTGTATCTGTGCACATTTTTTGGGATGCCTCCTGTAAGTTTATTAGAGCTGCCAGAGCAGCTCTGTGTACTGTATGTATGTGACGTAAAAGTGTACATGGCGTGAACAGATCTGACCATAGTTTTGCGTCTTGGGCAGTGTTAATGGAAACACTATGGTGGAGCATATCCAACATTTCCACTCTGGAGGGTGATTTGAGATTTTGGCGTTTTTAATCCCGAAAAACGCATCACCGTCGAAACGGAAGGCACTTCTGATAAAATATTTTGTCGTTTTTACCCACAAGCGATCTCATGTAATAAGACGCTAAGAAGGTATGAACAGAAGTACCTTGAAACCTACAAAGTGCAGCCAGGTCCCTGAACCACAAGCATGACTCTTGACCCACCTCACAGCGGTAGCACTGCACATGGAAGTCCCTGTCCAGAGCCACGATGCGCACCGTCTCTTCCTGCCCGGGAGCAGGCATGATGGGCTCATGGCACACGCAGCAACGGGGGGCAAATTTCCTGTTAACGCACAACAAAGATACTATAAAAATGCTAAATGCAATGTTACTATGTTAGCCAAAGATGTATTTCATAAATGTACAATACACATGGAAATTACATTTGACACCTTTTGCTACAACTACAACAAACTGCTAAATTTGTTTCCTGATACAGCATCCTCCTACACTAGAATTCATTTCATCAAGTATAATTGTACAATGTAGGTTATGCAGTCATACACAGTACATATATATATATAAAAAAAATCAAATTATTACTAGTGGTTTAGTGAGATAGAACTTGTGGTAAATGTTTATAATTGTTTTACATCAGTTAAGAAGCAGTTTGGGGAAAGAGCTGAGAGAAACGATATGAAAATGATGAAAGTAGCGTTCTAAACAATAAAACAATGAAACAATTTAAGCACAAGGAAGGCATTTTTTTGATGGATTAAACATGATTTAACAAAATAAAGGTCATTTTTATTTGGACCTTGTAAACAATATGGTTGATAGGTAATGGTTATGAAATTACCTTCATGTATGTCATATCTAATACCCATGTCCAACCAGAGAGTGAAATGATAAACTTCACCAAAATGAACAAATGGGATTAAACTAAGCACTTTTTTGTGATGTCTTAAATATAATTATGTAAAATGAGTAGTCAAACCTGTCATAAACACTTTAACACATGTGCAAAAGCCTTCATTGCTGAATGAGTCAACACTGACAGCCTCTTATTTATACTCTATCAATGACAGAAAGAGAAGTTTATAGACATTTGCAGTCATACAGAAACCACTTGTACCATATTGCATGACGGCTTTGAGAACAAGAATTAGGAAGTGGAAATGCAGCTGTTTTGAACATAGAAAAAAGTGTGTTTTATTCTTAAACTGTTCTTCGACAAAAGGCCTGCCGTGCTCCTGAGGTCACACTTGTCACAGGGAATTAAACTACGGGCCACTGCAGCTACGACCCAGAGTCAGTGAGCCAGACACTCCGCTCTACAGAGAGGCTACTCACTTCTGTTCTGATCAATGACACAACAGGAAAACAGATTGTGTAACACAACACAATGACGGGAATGAAATATGGGTTCACCACAACAGACTAAAATGTATTGAGCACTGTGATTTCTTGTGGGTTATTTTTCTGTGTATTCCTGTCATAGATGTTACATTATGAAATGACACGTGATATAAGGACAAGATTCACTGTTGAAACTATTGGCGTTTCCCCTTAAACTATCGCTGTAATTTCGAAACATTTTGAGCTAATCAGTGTAACTCTGTCTACAATAATATGGGGCTTAATGTGGGTTTATAATCGAAACAATCCATCAGTCTTATATAGTGCTTTTTCAGTTGCAAACAATTAAATATAATGACATATAATAAAATTAAATAAACAATAAAAATATAAAATAATAAAATAAATGATTCAATATAATACATAAAATTTACTGCATGCTGGTTTGTACCTAGAGTCTGAAAAATGTATGGGATTCCCTGACAGAAGTTAGATATCCTCAACAAAAAAAAAGTAAAAGTAAAAAAAAGTACACAAAAAGTACACTTAACTACGCCTTGAAGAAATGGAATACCAAGTGAAACACAAAACTGTTTCAAGTCCCTCATTTGAGAAACAATGATCACATCCTTGTTTTTGAACAATGATAGGAAGCCAGAAAATGTGAGCTTTATACCATATGCTCATTTATTGACTTTATTGACCCATCATAAAGCTGTCATAAAACAAATCTAACTGTTTCAGTGCTTTGCAAATATTTACTAATGTTGATCGGTCCGGATGTTAACCAGACCAGCTTGCATTGAGTTGTTGGCAGTTTCTAAAGTGTGAAATGTAGCCAAACCAAATGTGATCAAATATAAAACAAATGTGTGTAGATGGAGCCATGTTTTTGAACTTTGGAGATGAGACGAATTTCACATGTTTCAGGAGGACAGATGAACTGGAGGTTGGTGGTTAGTAGTTACTTCAACACAGATGCAGTGTCGTCAAACTAAAAGGACACGTTCTGCATGTAGAGAGAGAACAAGCTGAAGGCTTGTACTTACGTAAGTAAAAGGTGTAGCTCTTGAGTTAATAGTTTTCATTTCATTAATTTCATTTTAAGAAGTAAGTACACATATATCCAGTACACTTAATGTGCATTTCACATATCTTTTCTTATTAAGCACGCATGAAGTGAGAAAAAGAAAACATCCTACCCATCCTACCCTACAGTAAAATAGATGCCATAAGGCATTTTTAGAAATATAAAAACTATGGGATGAAATGTGTGATTTATCTATTCAATTGTCAGTAAAATATATATTTTTCATACTGTTATAGTATTAAGACTTTTCACCAGAAAAGTTACACACTGCACCTTTAACATCAAGTCACAAAATCTCATGACCTGTTGTGATGGATCGGCACAGTGTATCATAATTTTTATTTTCTGAGAGGAAATCTTATCACCAACATTAAACAAACCAACCTTATAAACAAACATTATTCTCAAATCTGTTTAAAAATAATACAATAATTGTGACTCTAAACCTACAGTATGAGTGTGATATAACCTGAAAATAATAAGAGTGAAGAGTGAGGAGTGCATGTTACTTGTGGAAGTCCTGGATGCAGTGGATGTGGTTGGAGGCGTCCACAGTGAAGGGCACTCCGTCCAGGCTGCGGTGACACACCACACAGGTGAAGCAGTGTGGGTGGTAGGCCTTCCCCGTGGCCCTGAGGATCCGCTCCATGATGGGCTTACTGCAACTGTTACACGTCTCCAGGGTGTTCTGAAACACACACAGGCACAGACAGAACAAGGATTTAGGAGAGGGTCACTGTTAACACTTTTTAACCAGTGGTGCAGTGGTTTGTCAACTTTCAGTAATGTCAAAAAGTGCACAGGTATACGGCCACATAAAAATACATAATACACAATAATAATAAATACACATAAAATATGGAAAAAATATCTACAGTAACTGACATAGTAAATTCAAAAAACAATAATTCAAAAAAGGCACACTATGTAACTTTCTTGTGGAGGTCTGTCACCTGCTTATCTCCACTGAGATGTTAGAGCTTTGCCCAAATGTTTCAGAGTATGGAATGAAACATATCTATCATTTGTTTATTTTGCCGCAGATCTGATCTGTAACTTGAGCTGGTGGCATATGGTATTATGTTAAATGCCAGACTGTGGATAATTCCAGACAAAGCAATAAGTATGTGGAATAAATGAGGATCCTCCACCAGAAAAGTTGCATAGTGTCCCCTTAGGTAAAAGATTTTTAAAATTAAACCCATTCATTCAAGAAATGGCGACAACATTTACATGGCTTTTCAGACTGGACGGTGATTTTGACAGTGCTCTTGCTAAGTTTTTACAGCCAATCTTTATAGTGAGACCAGATAAGTGAAGTGTTCCAGGAAGTAGCCTCCTCCAGGTGTCTGACTAACACTGTATGTGGACACAGTGTCCTCACATGCTCTGAGCTAAACCTGATTAGCAGTCGGCTCAAACACAAACATCATTTTTCAGAGCTCCCTCTGCAGCCCTGCGCACAGAGCAGTAAATATCTCCACTTTGTGATGACTACAGGTCTTCTGCAGCCAGCCGCCTGGGCACCACGCCCGCACCAGGCACAAGACTTATCTGAGGCATCTCCTGCTCTAATATCTGCCACCACATGCCATTTGTTATTTCAATATTTCATAAATAACGACCGCCTCTCTAAACAGCAATGCAATTACGGGGGCTGGATATATCATGTGCCGGTGATGGATGTTTGGCCTGATGTATTTCCTGGATCTCCCTGTACTCTCCATGTGTTTCTGCAGGCGGCAGCTCGACTGACACCTGCTCCAACACCAGAAATAAGATGAATGAGTGACATTTTGTCGACAAATTACTAAAATCCAAAATGTGCACAAGAGCCATGTCTACTGCCGCACTGTGGAATTTGTTGTCTATGAAAAGTGTTTCACGTTTAATGAGGAGAATGGGTTTATTTTTATGCATTATTTAATTATTATCACTTTAATATTAATCTTTCTTAGTGTAGACATCCAGAATGATGGGACAAACCATTACATCACTGTTTATTTCCGACAGCAATCTCGCAAGGCCTTAATTAACCTTGTTTTAGTCACAGTCTAAAAATGTTCAGTTTAGATGTGACATTTTGACTCGTAAACACTGGGCTATTTGTGGACCTTCGGCCTGGTGTATTTCCTGGATCTCTGTGCCCCTTAGGTGACTGTGTGTTTTATGTAAGTGTGCATTGGGCCGGACTAATTCCTGCATGCTCCAGCTGCTTCGATGGCTGCAGTGTGAGTGAGCGGCCTCTGTTTCCAAACATGAGCAGAGTGTGGAGTAACACAGAGCTGCATCAGCCGCTCCAGGGGGTGTGTGCCACTGTGACCCAGGACCAGGGTTCTTCAGAAGGGTGAGTTTGTGACTGTGACACAGGACCAGGGCTCTTTAATGGTGTGTGTGTGTGTGTGTGTGTGTGTGTGTGCGTGCATCTGTGTGTGTGTGCCACTGTGACCAAGGACCAGAGCTCTTCAGGAGTGTGTGTGTGACTGTAATCTGAGGTGGACATATAAGGACAGCCGCTGTTGATAATTAAATCATTTATTACCACTCACGGCACACATTTTTATTTATAGGAATATTGAAAGGTGCACTCTCTCCAATTACAGCTCCAATATTGACACTATATCAAGTTCTCATAGATTCTCATGAAATGTTGGCTCACAACAAAAGGTTTGGCTTGAGTTGCTAAACAAACCAGATGTGAGGCTTTTTGTTGAGTTCTGTAGTACTGTGTGATTAATTGAATTGTACTGAATCATGATCCAATCATTGGCAGGTCACAGTGACCTAAACTTTTTAATTGCCATGGTCTATAGATTATCCTACAAGCATTTGGTTAAGAGAAGAGACCAGAGGAATAAATAGGATTTTGTTGTGATTTTTGTTAAATTAAGAAAGAAAAAAAGAATAAATTACTTCGAAAAAATTAAATTAAATTGAAAACTGTGTTTAATCAATAAGAGAAAAAAGAGTGATGCCCAGCCCCACATGTACAAAAGCACTGGAGATGAAATATTATATATTCAATAGCAACAACAGATATATCCATTATGAAAAATTGCCAAAAAGTTGTTTTCTTTTTGTTACCATCTTCTAGAGATATTACGAATGACAATAATGAATAGTGGATTTTACCAAGAAGGGATGGAATAATATAAAAATACATTTGGCTTTAGAAAATATCACTACACTAAGAGTAATCTAAAAGCCTCTGCTGACGTTTTCAAACAGCACATATCTGTGCACATATCTGTTTTTGCAAATGAACTCTTCATGTGAACATTATGTAACGTAATGCATGTTATTATTGTCATATCACCAGCGCGCACCATAAAGCATCATTGTGCAAACTGGAACAGATTGTATTTTATAATAGCACAACTCCACAAAATAACCCCCAATCATTGTGCTTACGTAGCTGTACGGCATTTCCATGGAGACTTTCGCAGCTAAATAAACGAACTATTTTTGTAGCCAATTAACCACGATGCATAGGGCTCTTTGTGCAGACTTTTTGACGGTGGCTGCGTTGAATTCATGACTAACGGTGACGTAACCGTGGCGACCAAGTAGGAAGGTAACGGGGCCAGAGCAGTGACCCAGCGCAGGCACAAGTCTAAAAAGAAGCCCATTTCTTCAAAGCACTCCTGGAGAGGCCGTATTTCATGAAAAGCAATGTGGACAAGCTGCGCGCGTGCTTGTATTTCCCCCTGCCCCTTCAAGACGGTAATAGAAATAAGCAGGAATCCCAGGGCAACGTTTGTGTGTAAACAATGTCCACACTGAGTCGGTGCTGGAAGAGGAAAAGGGTTTTAATGAGCGGGCTGCACTGGGCCTAAGAGCCTCTGTCTCACACGCACTCACACATACGAGCTAATACGGAGCGCGGCAGTTCATTTAAAAACACAGAGAGAGAGGGAGGAGAGGGAGAGAGAGAAAGAGGAAGAGAGAGGGAAGAGAGGGATGGAGATGTATGGAGAGATGAAACAGTAGAAATAAGGGGAGAGAGAGAAAGCATAAGGGGCAGAGGAAGAGGAGAGACAAAATGCAGAGAGACAGGTGAATGGCAGGGGGGTCACAGGAGAAGAAGAAGTAAGAGAGGAGGGAGTAAGAGAAGAAGGGAAAGGAAAGAGAGGAGAGAAAGATAGAGAGAAAAGAGATGAACAGATATAAATAAAACAGAGTAAACCAGAAGAACAGACAAATAAGAGAGCAAGATAATTAAAGAGAGGGATATAGAATGGAGAAACTGACAGAAAAAGAAAGAGTGAGGGGAGAGAGAACAAGAGAGGGAGCAAGGAGAAGGAAAGAGAAAAAGAGGAGGGCAAAAGAGAGAGAAAAGATACCTAGATATAAATAAAACAGAGATTGTGAGAGCAAGAGAGGAGAGGGTGAGTTGGGCACAGGCAGTGACAGAGTGGGTTAGAGAGAGAAAGAAGAGAAAGAAAGACTACGGAAAGTGAGAAGCCCTAAAATCTTACTCATGGTGTATATCCATCTAAGTTCTCCTCCTCTGGCCTTGGAGTGGGAATACCTTGCCCTTGTTTAGTTTAACTAGAGCATATGATCCCACATTACACTGGCTCTGTGCTGTTATTATAATGGGGCTGCTGTGGACCAGGATAAGACCAAGAAGTAAAGAAATGTGGTCTTAGACACAAAATACCACTTAGTTTGGTGAGCTAAACAAACAAAAATAAATTACACTTTAAATGAAACACATTATACTGACTACAATACTATGGCTTAACAAATAGTTTGAAAACGTAAATTGGCTACCGCTTTATTACTATTTTATTACACTGGTCTGAAAACAATTTAAACCCCAGAAGTATTGTATTGATTTTAAAGAAGCATTCTGAAAGCAAAGACCGCTGAAAAGGCCCTGATCCTATCTTGCGATGGAAAAAAAAAAGACCCCAAACATACATACCATAAAAAAATAAATAAATGTCTAAATTGGGAATCAAAAGATCTTTCAATTGAGCTTTGCATTTTGTCAAAATAACCCAAACAACCATAATAGTTTTTTTTCCTATATTTTTATCAGAAAAACTATCAGATCTGCAGAAAAAGCTCAAATCATGAAGCCTCATAAGAGTATTATTCGTGACAACCTTGATGCTACAGTATTCGCAAAACAAAAATGGCCCTTTCTTTTCTTCTTGCTGTTTGTATGACCTCGATTCATTCACTGTGCACCAAATCGCTCCCGTTGTGACCGCTTCCATTTGGTTTTCGGTAACACTTAGCATTTATTAGCTCACTTACACTGGAGCCCTCTCATCTCTCCTCTCCACACACACATTTTGACAGATTTTGGCACACTCCAGCGTACAGTGTTGCCACTAGAGGTCTCTGTTCCTCTGTACTGGTCTGCAATACTGCCTGACTAACTGTGGTGTAGTCAAGCATATGTATTTCTCTGCCCCCTCCCTCATTTATTTCTCTAAGTGTTTGCCCAGAAGGCTAAACAAATGTCTAGGCAGATGAGGTAAAAGGGAATTTGGGTCAGACTGAACTGCGGGTGAGAGACTGTCTTCAAGTCAATTGTGGTTCAATTTTACTCGCAACAACTCATCTCTGGGTAATAACATGGGATGGACCCTGGTCTTAAAGCTTGTGCCAGTGGCCTACAGCATATGTGAGTTTGAGTAGTTTAATGGAGAGTAAGTTTAAATTCTGTGGTTT